TATTTACATGTAAATGTTTATCTAAAACATAAAATAAGCATTAGGTGGTTAAAACGCTGCATAATTGTGATGATATGACGCGTCTTTCTCTGGCATAGCACCAGCCAACACACCTGCTGTTGAACTCCCTTCCTCCTCATCCCTGTCTATAAGGGCTGAACTCTGTATCAGTGCACGAAAGAGACTATGTTCACTCCGCTAAGCGTTGACCTAAGTGGTTTTTTTTAACAATCAAGTGTTACCGTGTTGTGCAACACAACGAATCGATTATGAAATTTGTTGCCAACGCTCTTAGTAATCGTACTGATTTATATACAAGTCCTGCTGGGCAGCAGCTTACACAACTTTTTTAAGTGTTGTGAAATGAAATGCGCTGGACGAATGTCTGCATTTGCCCAATAGAAACGAGGCAGCCAGCAGGCAGAGAGGAAAACACTCCATGGCAACGCTGCTGTAACTTTCACTCATTTGAAAATGTTTCTCTGCCTGCGTCAAGTTCAGCTGATGTCCCTCCCCCGAGAGCCATATACCTCACCATGATTGGTGGGCTTGTTCAGCTCCACACACAACATTGTAAAGTGCCGTACATATCAAACTCAACATCAATATTGTGTTTGTCCTCTACACAGACTACAGAGCTGTAATCTCACTGTTGAGTGCTGTGAGAGTTTGTCTTCAGCTCTACAATCCTCAAACTGTGTGCTGAGAGAGCTGGACCTGAGTAACAATGACCTGCAGGATTCAGGAGTTAAGAAGCTCTCTGATGGACTGAAGAGTCCAAACTGTAAACTGGAGACACTGAGGTAAATACTTTTCCACTCAACAGCAACTACAAAAAGAGAGTTACATATTGACTTAACATATTGGTAATATGAAGCCCCTTTCCCCACTCAGTGTGTTGGCAGATTGGCAATGACTGTATTCATATCTATACAAGTCTGAGTGTAAAGGCAAATATATTCAAAAGCATTACTGAGTAAAATACAAATGCTGAATTATCTAATTCTTTTTCTTATATACAAAGATATGACTGTAAAACAGTTAATCAGTGTATTTATTGATTATTTACACTGCAAAAAAAAATGTTTTTCTTACTTAGATTTTTTGTCTTGTTTCTAGTTTATAGAATATTTAGATGAATTGCCTCTAAGTTTTGTACTCTTATTTTATATGTTTATATATATATATTTTGTTTATGTTTGTAAAGTTTGCTGTTTTCCTGAAAACATATAAAAGTCTCATGACAGTCTTATTATCTAAACTGAAGAAGTGTCTTGGCCTTGTTAATATTTGGACTCTACAAAGGTGGATTGACTACAGCTCTAGTGACTGTCAGACAGGAGACAGACACCAATAGATTGAGTTTGTGTGTTTACTTTATTTGCAATATTGTCCACAATATAATCTAAATATGATCTAAAGATTATCTAAAGATAAATAATGGAAATCAGCTCATTTTCAATTACACTTTATACTTCAAGATTTCCTTCTGAGTTCAAATGTGTCTTATTCCTCACAGCAAACTTTACAGCTTCATGTGATGTCTTATGAACTATTTCTCTGTACACTTCTACAGATGATGTCGAGTCCTTATCAGCAAACACACTCAACATGCTCTATATCAGGGCTCGATCAATAAGGAGAGCTAATCAGGATGTGTGTGTTCATCACTGCTGTTGACATGAGCAGAAACAGCAGTCAGCATCTTCACAACACAAAGAGATGTGTGATTGTCCAACTGTGTGATGTGGACTATTGCTGTGTTTGCAGATTGTCTGGCTGTATGGTGACAGAGGAAGGCTGTGGTTTTCTGTCTTCAGCTCTGACTTCAAACCCCTCACACCTGAGAGAGCTGGATCTGAGCTACAATCATCCAGGAGATTCAGGAGTCAAGCTGCTCTCTGAACAACTGGAGGATCCAAACTACACACTGGACAAACTCAAGTATGTGGAGCAACACTGATGTTGTAGCGCTGAATGCTCTTAACTCTTTCCTGACAGACATTTTTATTTATTTGTTTTTGTGATTTTTACTTAAATGTGACAGCCCTCTGAATTATCTTTAGGCAGGAATATCTGACCATATTATATATTAAATTAAAGAATCACCCTGCTTTCAGACAACAAAAATGTTTAATCTATTTTCTCAATCGTCTATTTGTGTTTTATACACAGTTAACTGCAGGAAGAATCCATGACAAATTTACATTGATTACAAAAAACTGAAAATATATTTTTCTAAAAGCTTAAAAACATTTAAATATCTGCATTTACAAGATATAAAGTATATAACACACACACAGTACCAGTGTTTGTCTTTGAGCTCCACAGTGAATCAGATTTGTCATCACAGTTGTGAATGTGTAAATGTGTAAATGAGTGATTCCAGCAAGTCTCATATCACTAACCACACACTCTCAGCTCAGAATGATTGAGTTCTGAGTCTGTTTGGAGATGATGAAGAGGCATTTGACAGAAGATGAAGATCTCCATCATATTTCAAGTCATTTAACACTGAATTCTGCTTTATTATTGTGCTGCGCTTTTGTCAATTGATCATTGAATGAATCCTTCAGTCTTTATATCTGTCTGTTTCTGTGTTTCCATTCTGTTTTCTGTTTCCACATCTGATCTAAAAGCTCTGTGTGTCATTCAGAAGCTGATTTGACAGCTCCACACACACTCATGTTGTTTTACTGCAGTTATTAATGCACTGAGATCATCAGCCAATCACAATCCAGCATTCAGCACACATTCCACATGTCTTATTGTTTGTGTGTGTGTGTGTGTGTGTGTGTGTGCGTGTATGTTTGTGTGTGTGTGTTATAACCTGACGTTTGTGTACTGACTGAATGTGAATCTGTGTGTGTTTACAGTCTGGATCATGGAGGAGAGACGAGGATTACAGCTGGACTACACAAATGTATGACTACACACACACACACACACACACACACATTACATTTACATTACACACACACACACACATGCTCACTCTCTCACAAACACACACACAGTCACTTTCACACACACACACACACACACACGCTCACTCTCTCACATACACACACACACACTCACTCACACACACACACACACACACACACACAATCCGGCTCTCTCTCTCTCTCTCGCTCACACACACACACAGAGAAGTAAACACATGTGCACACAAACGCACGCATACACACTCTCCCTCACACTCACACTCTTTCCCTCTCTCAAACACACACACACACACTTACGCTCACTCTCTCACACACACACACACACAGACACACTCACACACTCACTCACTCACACACACACACACAATCCCGCTCTCACTCACACACACACACGCACACACACAGAGAAGTAAACACATGTGCACAAAAACACACGCATCCACACTCTCCCTCACTCACACACACACACAATCTCTCCCTCTCTCTCTCTCTCTCTCTCTCACACACACACACACACACACACACACACACACACACACACACACACACACACACACACAGCTGTGGTTGTAAATGTGTGTGTTCTTGTGTTCAGATGTCTGTTTCCTCACTCTGGATCCAAACACAGCACACACTCAACTCATTCTGTCTGAGGAGAACAGAGAGGTGAAGCTTGTGAGAGAGAATCAGCCGTATCCTGATCATCCAGACAGATTTGATGGTTATTATTGTCGTCAGGTGTTGTGCAAAGAGAGTGTGTGTGGACGCTGTTACTGGGAGATTGACTTGAGTGGAGATGATGTTGTGTGTATATCAGTGTCATATAAGAGCATCAGGAGGAAGGGAGGAGGTGTTGAGTGTGTGTTTGGATATAATGCTCAGTCCTGGAGTTTGCGCTGCTCTTCTTCCAGATTCTCATTCATACACAATAACACACACACTGATCTCCCAGTAGAGCCGCTCAGCAGGAGAATAGGAGTGTTTGTGGATCACAGTGCAGGAACTCTGATCTTCTACAACATCTATAGAGACACAATGAGCCTCATCCACTCAGTCCAGACCACATTCACTGAGCCGCTCTGTGCTGGGTTTTATGTTAGTTATGGATCATCAGTGAAACTGAGCTGAAGACTGACAAGAGATTTACCCAGAATCCTCTGCAGGAGCAGTCAGCAGCAGTGTGTGTGTGTGTGTGTGTGCGTGTCTGTGTGTGTGTGCGTGCGTGTCTGTGTGTGTGTCTGTGTGTGTGTGTGTGTATATGTATATATTATATATGGCTGATTCCAGCGTTATGGACGTGACATTTGCAGTAAAAAAAATGAAACATGTATACTCAGAGAAGGTATATGTTAACAGTATATTGAAATATATGTTTAAATTTTTCTTACCCCTTAACCATGGAGTTCAGGCATCAAAAAATATCAGTCTATGCAGGTGTTTTATATTTAAAATGATGGCAAAATGAATGCGTTACGGACGTGACAAAAAAAAAACATGAGTTTGTATGTGTGTATGTGAGTTGACATACTTTGTGAAAATTCTTTGAATAAAAATGCAGAAGCCAAAAAAATATATAACAGTCAAAAGGATAAGGGTTGGCTCTGCATGTGACATATATAATTCATTTTATTTACTTTTTCATTTTTGCATTAATGAGAAAAAACTATCGTTACGGACGTGACTTGTCTTCGTTACGGACGTGACCGCTCTGAAATTCACAGTTGACACATCATGAAAATCAGATAAATGCTTTCAAAACTTGACCAAAGACCTATTTGTGGATATCTTTTGGGAGTGTAAACCAATAAACTTTAACCTCTGAGACATCTGAATGGTAAGGTTGCTCTTAGTTGTGTAAATTGCTTCCTTGTCCTCATTTGTAAGTCGCTTTGGATAAAAGCGTCTGCTAAATGACTAAATGTTGCACAATTAATCAAACTTAAATAGATATCACCTTGTTATATTTAATTCGTTGTAAGATTTCCCCTATATTAGGCACCAGATTCAGCAAAGTTCAGCAGGTCGACCCGGAGACATGAGAAGAGACCAAACTGTAGTTAGAATGGTTTATTCTGCAAGCCTGATGATAAGGATGAGCAGGGACATATATACATAGTGGGCTGACCTTTAAAAGTTATACAGAAGAAGGAAGACACTCTTAATATGGGCATGTTATACAAACAGAATAAAGAAGAAATGTATATATAGCGGGGACTTTCCAGTGTGGAAGATATCTGCAAGACCGAAACCAGACGTTGACCTTCAGACCTCCGATGCACACACACACAAAATACCACAGACACTTCTGCTTCTCATGCAAGCACACTTAAAAGAGGACAAAATGTTCTCTCAGTCCCCTCTTTTAGGCCAAAGGCCTAACACAGAGGAATCTTATCATATCGTTGACCCATCATACTGTCCATTGTAGCATAAACACGATTCATCAAACATTGTAAGAGAAAAGGACCACAACAACAAACAAGAAGGAAAATAATACATACAGGAATTATCATAGTAAGGAAAGGAGTCACCCAGCCGAACAGACCCATCATCCAACCCCATGTGGTGTCTGGGACATAATCAGAAGTCATAGCAATTTTTAACCCTTGGAGAGTAGACATAGCAGTACTCATTTACATACCCCCCCTGGGATGCTGTTAAGAGATCTAGAGCCATTCTATTTTGCAAAACCATGGTACGTAGATTACCCAGCTCCTTATTCTGGGCCTCATTAATTATTTTTGAGGCATTCAGGAATAGGCCCATGCGATAGTCCAGGGTCTCAATTCTTAGTAGAGCTTTTCCCACACCTATTTGCGGAAATAGAGCCAATACCATTTTACTACCAGTGGTCCATAATTTGAAATCCTCGGGCACGTCAGTACCCCATACAGAGTCATGGGGCTTCATTTCAGGGACACTGCGTTTAACTCTTTGCTGCGCTGACAGGACCTGGGCTGTCACAATAAAAGTGTGATCAGTCACATGCACAGGGGCACACTGCCCCGTCCAGTTGGCCGGTAATGACATGTAGGCGTTTTTTCCACACAATCACCACCCACCCTGGACCACATAAGTGCCATTTGAGGGTCCTGAGATGTCGACTGGGGCCCCTTCTCCCGTGGAGGCAATTTGTTGACAGTTAACAGTGCTTCCCATGAAATGAGAGCCCATGGTCTGGTTATAACACACAGGGTGTGTAATAGAGTGCTTAATAAAAAACCTTGTGGCTAATAGGTGAGGGTTTAGCGTGGCCAAATTTTACCCAAAATAGAGCATCACATGTACCATTTCTAATGCCAATCCGGTATGGATCGTAGTCATTGACAATTATATATGGATTCTGGTACCCTGATCCTGCAAAACTGGCAAAACATTTAGCAGCTGTTTTATTCATGGGTTTGGCATAAAGAGGGGTTTGCTTGGCTGAATGAGGCATAACAGAACATACATAACAACCAGATACATTATATGACCTAGCTAAAACTCATTTACATATTGATACCACATATTATTTCAATTGGATTGTCAGCCCCATCCTCTGCCCATCCAAATTCATGATCATGTGTCCAGCGTTTCAGCCTGGCTGCATTAGCTTGAGCAACAAGAAAGAGAAACAGTCCCAATGTCCATAGCCACTTCATGCTTATCCTTCTAGTAGTTATGCTGCGTGGAGGTGCTAGCTGATGTGGGGGCCCCCAAAATCTGTAAAACAAAGAGAGTCTGCAGACAGATTATCATAGTACAAAACTTATACATTTTTATTATTCAATAGGTGCTCGTTTTATCCTGGTTGCATGGATCCACTGTGGAGAAGAGGAGGTTAAAACGGCGGTTCTGGTTACAGCCACGACATCCGTCGGGGGGCCATATTTGGGGTCCCCCAGTTCTGTGCTCATTTTATTGAACTGTCTAATCATTACTCTGTCACCAACCTTAAAGGGGTGTGTTGGGTCTACCGGCATCGGGGCTGAACCAGAATGTATGTTAGTCCAGTATGCATGCAATGTTGTTAGTAGCTGTTGTGCACATTCACTCATATGAATATCCAAAGAACCGTCACCCAGTGTGGTACCCCTTTGCCTCCATGGTGAGGGAAAGGGTCGTCCCATCACAGTCTCATAAGGAGATAAACCGTGAAGACTTTTGTGAGGAAACATCCTCATGTCTGCTAAAACGACAGGTAGCAAGGCGAGCCAATTTGAATGCCCTGCATGTTACATAGCCTTTCTTAATTTGTCCTTGATAGTCCTATTAGTTCGTTCTACTATACCAGATGATTGTGGATGGTAGGGAATATGTAGCTGCCAATTAATTTGGAGTTCTTTAGCTAGATTTTGTATTACTTTCGCAGTAAATGAGGTTCCCTTATCTGAGTCTATGGCACATGGTATACCGTATCTTGGAATGATTTCTCTTGTCAAACATCTGATAACTGTATTAGCATCTTCCTTACTGCATGGGAAGGCTTCAACCCATTTTGAAAATTTGTCCACAAAAACCAGTAGATATTTATTAGGACCCCTCTTTGGCAGATGTGTGAAATCTACCTGCCATTCCTGAAAAGGTGTTTCAGGGAGGGGCAATTGCTGATGTTGAGCTTGAGGTTTAGTGATATTATTTTGAGCACATATCAAACATCTATCTAGCGTGTTATTGACATGGTGCTGTAAATTATTGATGCATAAAAAGGAACTCATTGTGTCTATTAACTCATTGTGTCTATTAACTCATTGTGTCTATTAACTCATTGTGTCTATTACCCCTCTTCGGCCGCGGTGTGTAACACCGTGAAACTCGCGGACGAGAAAAGGTGCACAGGATGATGGCAGGCATAAACGGCCTTTGCCATCTAGCATTATTCCATTAGGATCAGTCGTGGCGTCACATTCAGACCAGTAAGTATGGTACTAAGTATTTAGTAAGCTGCTGTTTTAGATTTGTCAGGAGCTCCTCCTGATCATCTTTCCACGCGAGGCGTGTTTTTATACGAGTGCGTGTCTTTTTGCCCTCATCTGTTTCTTCCTTAACAGTTTCTGTTTGTACTATATCAAGCTTGGGATCAAGAGCAGGTATTTTTGTTGTTATTTTTTCATTGTCATAGGACGAACCCATTTTGGTTTAAAGGATAAATCGATAATCTGCCCCAATTAGTTGGCAGTGACGCGAACTGCGCAACAGCATGTCTACAAATTGCAGTGGTTTGTCCACTTCGGGCAGAAGAGATATGAGATCTTTAAGAACAGAGGGTGAAGGGGGAATTATTTCTATCCCTCTTGGTTTAGCAACCCACACCGCAGCCACATTAGAGGCTGAGGCAGTGCCCTCCATGCTGTCGGAGGGGTCTGGTTTAGTTTTAATCATTTCTGTCAGTGACGGATAAATAGAAGGCACTGTAGGAGAAGCACTTACAGAGCATGAAGCTGCAGGCGGAAGCCCCGTATAAGGGGGTGGTGATATCATAGTTGTCTTAGCAGCTGCGAGAGAGCCCCTCTTATCTGCCTTACGGGCAGTATTGCTTCTGCTTTTGGGTTTGGGGACAGATTTCAAAATTTTTTCAAAATTTTAGGTGTAAAAATGCCTTTTTTATCTCTCCATATAGAGCTCATTGTATACCATGTGTCATATCCATTCATCATATACTGATCATTCCATTCTGGATCCCCATATCAATTTGTAAGCTAACTGAAGGAAACCTGGGTCAAATGTTCATTCCCTAGGAAAGTCTCTCCATTGAGATTGTCCCTCTGTCCACCCAGCTAAATTGGACAGCCAGGGTTCAGTGTAAAAATTCCCACCCACATCTATCCATCCATTGCTTTGGACTCTCACTGGGTTCTGGTTTTGGATATCCTTGTCCCATATTGCTGAAGCTGGTGCGTAATACTTATTTACTAAAATTTATTAAATCCCCTGATTTGTGGAACCCAAATTTAATCAGGTACAACAACACAAATCCTTCTGTGCAATTTACTGTTTGAAGTAAACTTGACAGGCTAGCAAGTGTCAAATTAATAAATTTTCCTGATTTGTGGAACCCAAATTTAATTGAGTACGACGACACAAATCCTTCTGGGCAATTTACTGTGGAAAGTAAACTTGCCAGGATACTCTGTGCTCTAGAACACAGACCTCTCAACTCAATTGTAACTAAAATCTTACGATTTCCTGAGATACACCGGAGCAGGCAGTGTGAATAAAAATTCTCTTACCTGATCAGATGTATCCCGGACGAGCCCCCAGATCTGTAAGATTTCCCCTTTATTAGGCACCAGATTCAGCAAAGTTCAGCAGGTCGACCCGGAGACATGAGAAGAGACCAAACTGTAGTTAGAATGGTTTATTCTGCAAGCCTGATGATAAGGATGAGCAGGGACATATATACATAGTGGGCTGACCTTTAAAAGTTATACAGAAGAAGGAAGACACTCTTAATATGGGCATGTTATACAAACAGAATAAAGAAGAAATGTATATATAGCGGGGACTTTCCAGTGTGGAAGATATCTGCAAGACCGAAACCAGACGTTGACCTTCAGACCTCCGATGCACACACACACAAAATACCACAGACACTTCTGCTTCTCATGCAAGCACACTTAAAAGAGGACAAAATGTTCTCTCATTCGTATTATGGTGTTTGTTGTTAAAGGTTAACGCACGTTCGAATGTTCAAAACTCAATTCGGAAACAATGTTGCATGCTAACATGGTGCTTTTATACTCTGAATAATATAGAATTAATAATAAACATAATCAGCTATAATAGGCCTATGTTTATCGGGCTCCTAAAGTTAGTGTTTCCAGACAAACTTGAATTAAATCATTGCCCGACTGTTGCGCAACCGTGTCTACGTGGAGACTATTTAAAATTAAATTTAATTATTATTATTATTAATTATTAAAATTAAAATTAAAAACAACCATAGAAAAATTGTCATTGGTTGTAGGCATGTGCGATGGATGACTATAATGTTTATATTTTTAGGCTATAGTTCATAACCGATTGTGTAAAATATTGAATTAAATATTTACAGCTGCAGGTCCTATCGATTTTCTAACAAATTTAATACTCCTATAAATGTAGTTAAAGCTTAGATCAATATCAAGATTTTATTCTTATTTTGCCGCCTGTAAAATAATTTTAATAAGCACTCAAGTGCATTTGCCGGGTGCTGGAAATCTTTGAAAATGTTTTCATTTTTATGTAGGCTATAGCCTATTTTCAAGCTTTGAAAGTGCTTAGATTTTGGATAAAAGGCTTGAAAAATAAATTGTGTCGCTTTGATAATTTATCTTTATAAATAGTTATTTAATTAATAAAATAAAAAACATATTTATGCTCTGCATGAAATAAAAGCTCCGCTGTGGCCTGACCCGCAGCGTGCGCATTTTGAGCAGAGGGGAAAGTCCAAATGCATGGAGGTTATTGATTATGCGCCCTGCGCGCCTCGCGTTTTGTCATTGCGCGCTTTGTGCGCTCCAGAGGAAAAGGATGTTACCTCAGTGGCGTCTTTCATTCTTCAATCAAATGAAAGCAGAGGCGAGGTTTCCTTAATTCCTTAGAGGTGACAGCAGTGTATTGTCAAGATGACTACGGTGAACTTTTTAATGACGGAATAGAGACTTGTGGTCGCTGTTTTAAGTCATCCAAAGTTGTAAGACTTTACAAATCTTGAATTTCATAATGTTATTTAAAAAATTCAATTATGAAAACATTGACAGCAACACTCGCGCACAAAATAGACCAGCTGATTCAGTTGTTACCTATAGTGACATTCAAAAGAGCACTGCGCTTCTTTTTTCTTGTCAACATAAAATGCATTGATGTGCGCCTTACGTCTCTGGAATGAAAAAGCGCGTTCGTTTTTATCGGCTTCTATGAGCAACACATATTTGTTAACTCGCAGGACAGTAACACGTGCAAACACACGTGCTTACATATGTTTTTTGCCAAAGAAGCAAAATGAAAGAAGAATATTCTGGCCACAGTTTAACACAGGAGTTGACGAACCAGCGCTGATCCTGGTCGTCTGTGCTGCCTGGAGCCGCGTCATAAACTCAACTAGGCATATTAATGATTTAGTGCAGACTACAATTAACAAACCACCCTTTTTCCATTTGGAAAATAACAGTTATTAATAGTTCTTATATACATTTTAAATAGCCTACATAGCCTCTACAAATCAAACAAAGACAAATATTTTATGATAACTTTGCACCAAACTGATGCTTTCATTTTACAGCTTATAAAACATGTATGCAAATTAATGCAGTATCACATGTAAATAACAAAATTGTTATATGCTTAGCCTATACTTTACAAAATGTATAGGTTCAAAGCCTTATGGTTCATTGTCATTATCTTTCAGGCAGCGCGCGCGCACATGAACCGCAAGTAAGGTTAATTCATAATCATAATTAAGACATAATCTTTAAACTAATGACTTCTATTAAAAATGTTGACAGGTTTGTAATATTATAACAGCGGAGCATTAATTGAATGCATTTTTTTCCATAAAGCAATCTATTTGAGGTAGCCATATAAGTCATGACTAGTTAAAAGAACTAAAACGTGTAGTAGTAATGAATACTTTTTACATGAAGGACACCTATTTTACCTATTTTTCTGTAAAGTTTCAGCTCCAAACACTCATTAGATTATTTGTTATACCTTTTAGAATGTTGAGATTTTTGCTTTAAACACTTAGTCTTAGTGGATTAAAAGTTTTTTTTAATTGTCTTAAATGTTTAGAGTAAAGGTTTTAATCAACTCCAAATACTGAATATATGTGCGTCTGTGAGAAAGTGGAAACGAAGGAGAAATGTATCAATAAGTCATGAATGCAACAGTAAGTGGCAAAAATGTTTTAAAAGACTTTTATTTTGGCGTGGCGTGTGACGTCATAAGCCTGCGCCGTTCAAGCGCTGTGATTCAACTGGAGAAAGGTTTGTTTTAAAGCGTTTACACTTATATAAACCGATTGATTAAAGTTTCAGTTTTTTTCATTCAGTGCTAAATTATGTACCTGCTGTTGACAATATTAGTACAGTACAATTGTTTGAATAAAGATAGGATAAACTTTTTGTCCTCAAGAGGAAATTTGTCTTGTGCAAAAAAAGTGCTACACATTGCTGTAAGCAGACAATAAGCTAAATAAAACAAACAAAACAATTAAGAACATACATAAAAAATAAAGTTTAAAAAAAGGTTACAGAAATGTGTGTAATAAGTTTAATAACTTTATTGAAGGTTTAATTTATTAAATAGTATATTGTCATTCCATTCTGAGTTTACAACTATATAAGAAATGGAGTAATGTTACTAGCTTTAATCAGGTCATTTGTTTGTGGCTATTGTTTCTTGCTCAAACTTACCTGATTTCTTATTGTTAATCACTCTCCTATAAAGAAACTGTTGAAGTAAGTGTTAAGAAGTTATTTTGTTTCTGTTCATTGTTTTTTTCATTTTAAACAGGATAAAGTGTCCAAACGCAGAGAAAAACTCCTGCTGAAGCGACTGATCTCCACACTGTTATAAAGATGGCGTTTATTAAAGTGGAGAGTGAAGATGTGAAGATTGAAGAAACATTCACAGTCAAACAGGAAGATCTGCAGGAACAAACAGGTTGGTTTTCATTCTCAAAGACCAACTCGGTCATTTTATCCTCATTCAGATATATTTTAATAGTAAGAATATTAAATTAAATCCATCTTGCAGCCCTGAGTGTGCTGCTTAGTTCTCCTAAATGCACATAAGCACTCATGAGCTATGTTTCCATCCAAAAATGCAAATTAACTTTATGCTTAAAACTGGATTTTTCCATTCAAATGAAATCAGCTCACTTTTATTGTCACATCATCAGCAGCACGTGTGCTATGATGAATGAAAAGCTTAGGTGCTGGCTCCAGACAGTACAAAATATAGACAGTTTAAATACAACAACAGTGCAAAATACAGACAGTGCAAATACAACGACAAAGAGTCAAAGCGAACAAAATCATCACTTCCTGATTAACTGGCGCCAAATATCAACAATAAAAATGGAATTTGCTGCGATAAGAGAAGCTGCATCAATATCTGCGTTTCCACTATCATGTCAAAGTGAGCGAGCCAAGGCTGGTCACGTTTCCACTATCACTTCCGCGGCCAAAGCGGGGCTTTCTCGGGGCCAGCGGCCGGCCGTTTTCAGCCCGCTGAATACCTTGGGCCAAAGAGGGCTAGCTGGGGTGGAGTGAAAGGAGAGGCAGACACTAGTTTTCCGATCACACATGAGTACATGCACCAAACAAATAACCAAATAAAAAAATAAGGGAAAGAAAACATCTAGCCTTTTAGGCTGGGGTCTTTTTGCATATGATCACCCTTATGTTTTCCTTTTAAATGTAAGGCTGTTGCATAAAATAATAAAGTTTTCATTTATAAGTGACTGTGCTGCATCCTCCTTGATGTTTCAATAACGCATAATAATCTTTACACCATATTTAAGACACAGCAGACAGTAAAGGTTTTTGAGAGTTTTTGTCAAGTTTAAAAGGTGTTTGTGCGTGTTTAGATGCCTGTATGTGAATGTGAGATCGAGCAAAAGAGCGCTCTCTTCACAGCTCTGTTGATGCTGCGAGCGGCTTCTGTTTTTATTTATTTTGAAGATAATACACAACATAAATACAACAGAAAGACATTCAACTCTACAAATTTCGTGTCCATTTTTGTAGACTCAAAAACAATAGTGTCATATCCTAATAAAATAGCCTAAGATATATTGAAATAATTTAAATAATTACAAATATCAGATATAATAAAATCACAAAAATAAATAAACCAATATGAAACAAATAAAATCTATTTATAATAATTTAGGTAGCCTATAAACAGTACATAAATCAAACCATTTTAAAGCCATATTAAACTTTCATTTTACAAAGGCCTATCTGAAAAAAAGATTTTAGATATTTTCTAAAACAATAAACACAGGAGGAGGTTTGAAATATTATTTATAAAGTATATGGATACGATCATATTAATCAAATCATGTAAACAGAGCATGTTATGGGTGAGTGAAAGCAGAAACTAGGCTACCTTTTTATCTGTCATGCATGCATTATCCGCCTGATTCCCGCTGAAGTGGGCGGGTTGTGTGACGTTTGATTCGGGGGACGTTCTGGGGACGGGGTTTGCATGACACGCTGCGAGGTACTAGCCCGACAGTGGAAACGCGACATGATTTCTGCCTCACTGCTCAACCCCCCCTTGTGATTGGCCCGGCCCTGCCCGATAAAAGCCCTGGCTTGCACATGCCCGACAGTGGAAATGCGGCTAATCTTTTCTTCATCTAATAAATGACTTGCGCCTCAGAGGGTAATCCTGAAACGCAGTGAACGCGTAGTGCCGTTTAAAGGTGTCAGACGTGAAGATGCTCTTAATTCTGGAGGTCTTGAATAATATAATAACACTAATATTTAAACTGTAAGGCGTTTAAGAATGACCAAAACAAGAGTTCAGATGTTTAATAATGTACTGAGCCGGCTGGTTTGTCCATTCATACACATTTGTATCATCACATGATCTCTTATAACAAAATCACATGACCTTTTTTAATGCACATACTGGAGTTTGTAT